TAGCGACGTAGTGACTGCTTGATTAATTTAGTGACTGACTGACTAATATAGTGGTTTCATGATTTATTGACTGATTCATTTTAAGAATTATTACTGATAGACTTAGTGACTGATTGACTGACTTAGCTGAGATGGCCAATGGCGTAGTTACTTAGTAACTAACTGAATTAATAACTTACTGACTTGCTGAATCAGTAACTTATTGACTTGCTAATTTAGTTACCGACGACTTAGTGACTTAGTGATTCACTGACTGAGTCAGTAGCTAACTTAGTGTCTTAGTGAATGACTTAGTGACGTAGTTAATGATTGACTTACTTAGTGACTAAAATAACGACAAATTGTGAAACCGAATTACCGAAAAATGGAAATACTAAGAAATGAAAGTAAATGAAACACGAAAAATTTTGATATCAAAAAGTTGGTCGAAGGTAATTAAATCCAGATTTATCGAAAAACTATTTTTATGATTGATAACCCCTATAACTTATCTACATATAACTTAAAATAAAGATTATTTGTTCTGATTTATGTAGAGAATTAACTATGAGATTTACTAAGTGACTTAATGATAGAGTAACTTAGCGATCTAGTGACCAAAGAACTGAGGTACTTAGCGACTTACTGATTTAGTAAGTTAGTAAATTACTGACAAAATGATTGATTGAGTGCTTTGTGATTTAGTGACCCAGTGACTTAGTGATTTAGTGACTAAGTGACGTAGTGACCATTGACTTACTAACTTAGTCATTTACATAGTGCTTAGCGGTTTAGTCACTAACTGACTAGTCACCAAGGTGTTAAATGATTGAGTGATTTAGTGATCTAGTGACCCAGTGAATTAGCGACTTAGTGGCTTACTGACTTAGTAACTTAGTAAATAAGTCACAAAGTGATTTAGTGATTAATCGATTTAGTGATTTAGAGATTTCTTCACCGATTGACTAACGACTAACTGACTAAGTGATTGAGTGACTTACTGATCTTATAACCCAGTGATCTAGTGATCAAACGACTTAGTGACTTACTGACCAAGTAATTTAGTGATTGACTGACATGACTGATTTAGTGAGATAGTTGCTGATTGACTGACTTAGTGACTGATTGACCCACTAAGTGACTGAGTGCCTGATTGACCGATTTAATAACCTAGTGACTTAATTATTTCTTGATTGACTGACTGATTTACTTTGTGAATCATTGCCTAGTCTCGGACTGGCTGACTGACTGACTGACAGACTAAATTATTGAAGAAGTGACATAATGACTGATTGAATGACCTATTGACTGACTAACGGATTTACTGACACACTTAGTGGTTGATTTAGTTATTAATAGACCACTGACTGTCAGGCCAGGTCAGCTTAGGTCAGGTCAAGTGACGTAGTGACTGAGAGACTTAGTGATTTAGTGATTTAGTGACCCAGTGATTTAGCGACTTAGTGAATTAGTGAACTAGTGACCAAAGAACTTAGTGACTGACTGACTTAGTGATTTAGCGTTTAGTCAGACTGATTAATGACCAAGTGGTTAAGTGATTGAGTAGTTTAGTGATATAGCGACCCAGTGACTTAGTTATTTAGTGAGCAAGCGATGTAGTGACTTACTGACAAAGTAATTTAGCGACTGACTGACTTATTGACCTAGTGACTGTTTAACCAATGACTTAGTGACTAAGTAACTTAGTAACTCAGTCACTGACTGACTCAGTGTCTTAGTGACTTACAGGCTTACTGCCTTAGAGACCTAGTGCCTTTGTGGTTTCGTGATTTACTGACTGATTCATTATATGAATTATTAGTCATTGACTGACCGACTGACTGATCGACTTAGTGACTAAGTGGTGTAGTGACTAATTGGCTGAGTTAGCTGACCTAACCAATGACTTAGTAATTTAGTGACTTATAGATTTAGTAATTGACTGACTTACTAACTTAATTACTAAGCTACCTAGTGATTTAGTGACTTATTGGCTGACTTAGTGTCTTGATGACTCACAGGCTTACTACTTTACTATCTTATTGACTTAGTGGTTTCGTAACTGACTGACCGATTCACTTGGTGAACTATTACTTAGTCACTGACTGACTGACTGACTGACTGACTGACTGAATTAGTGACTTACTGACTGATTGACAGGTTAGATCAGGGCAGTTCATATCCGAAAAAAAATTGTATCTTTTATAGTCAATCAGTACAAAGGATCTCAAAAATTTGAGCCAAAAATTACACTTTCAAAGTTCAAGATCGAATTTTTCAAATTGAGCATTGTTTTTTTTTCGTTTTAGTCAACAGCTTGAAAAAAGTTTAATATCAAAATTTGAGACAAAATCTGCGGTTTTTGGATGTCGTCCAGGTTCTTGAGATTTTGTTAATGTTAAAAAAAAATTAAAAAGTTTTGAAAAAAGTTGAAACTTTGGAGATCTATGTAAAAATTAAAAGGCCAAAACAAAGTCTACAATTTTTATTTTTAAAGTTAAAATATTAAGAAATTTAAAATTTGCCAATAAATAAAAAGAATTTGAAAACTGAAATTTTCACAAACCATTAACATTGCGTAAATCCTAAAGACAATTTTTGTAAAAAAATCTTCAATGTGGCAAGAAAAAAAAAATCCTACACTGTTCTATTTTCTGACTTATTGACTTACTGATTGACTGACTAACTGACTAGCGGATTTACTGACTGACTTAGTGATTGATTTAGTTATTAATAGACCACTGACGGTCATACCAGTCAGGTCACCTCAGTCAAGCTTTGTCAGCTTAAGTCAGGTCAAGTGACGTGGTGACTGAGAGACTTAGTGATTTAGTGATCTAGTGACCCAGTAATTTAACGACTGACTGACTTATTGACTTAGTGACTGTTTTACCAATGTCTTAGTGACTAACTAACTTAGTACTTCAGTCACTAACTAACTCAGTGATTTCTTGACTGACTTAGTGCCTTAGTGACTTACAGGCTTACTGTCTTAGTGACTAAGTGACGTTGTGACTGATAACCAATGACAATGTAAATTAGTAACTGATTGACTTACTAACTTAATTACCAAGCGATCTAGTGATTTAGTCATTTAGTGACAGACTTAGTAACTTAGTGGTTTAGCAACGTAGTAAATAATTATTGACTTAAGGAAGTAGTTACTGATCGACTGTCTTAGTGACTGACTGACCTAGGGACTGACTGACTAACTGACTGAATTAGGGACTTACTGGCTTAGTGACGTAGTGACTGATTGACAGGTTAGGTCAGGGCAGTTCATACCCGAAATAAAATTTGTCTGTTTTATAGTCAATCAGTACAAAGGATCTCAAAAATTTGATCTTGACATTTGTGTTTTGGAGGAAAATTGTGAAGACTTCAAGACTTGAGATAAAAAATTCTAGGTGAAAACAAAGCAAAAAATAAAAAAAAATAAGTTAATACAAAATTTTGTAGTTCATCGATATTTTACCAGTACTTGGATTCTATGTGGAAGTAGATCTCAAAAAAAGATGAAATTAAAAAATATATGAATTTTCCAAGAAACTCAAAGTCTTGACATTTTCAGCGAACAATTGATTGAAAGTTAGGTCGCAAAAAATTGATTTTTTTTAATTTTGTAAAATTAAAAAAATATCTTCAACGTAGCGAGAATGAAAAAAATTCCTACACTGTTCTATTTTCTCTCTAGAAGATTTTTTGAAAAAGTTAGAATTCTGAAACTCACGAAAAGCCAAAATTTTAAAAAGCGTCAAGATTTTAAATTTCATTCAAGGTTTTATTTCATAATTTTTATATTTCTCGATTTCTCCATATTTTGTCATTTTTACTGTTACAGTTTCACTACACAAAATTTTCCATCAGATTTGTTGTCAGTCTATCAAGACTGACATTTCTTGGAAAAAATCGCTTGGCGACAGTCTCAGAACTCAGACGACTCGATTCTAGAAGTCGCGGATTCGAAGAACTGCCATCGAGGGGGCGGGATGGGGTGCAATACACCGAAACCGGTCTTGTCATGTTCGCGGAACCGGAAATATGTCTCTTCGATTCTTAATTATTATTAATTACACTAACATTGGGTAATTTTTGAAAAAAGTGATTTGGTTTTTAGTGGATAAGGCGTCAAAGTGGTATTTAAACGATTTTTGAAAAAAAATCGTCGGGTTTTTGGTGGATTAAAGTGGAGTTAGTGTTAGAAGGGAGCAACAGGATTTTTCGGAGGTTATGTAAGGTCAGAATATCTGGTTTATTGTAACTATTTTCGTTTCAAAGCGGCCCAACTCTCTCGAACACATGAAAGCTTTCCAGTAATTATGAGTCCGGTGGTCCTCCATGTCATGAAAAATTCATACACATGAAATTCGTCCCGTCGAACTACTTAAATTATTCACAACTCAATCCTTTTATAGTTTATGTCTAACTCCGGTAACGGTAATATCGAACAGACTCGGACAAAAATAGTGTTTTACACCCCGACGTAACACTTTATTTATTTTTATTAATTTGGGGGTGCAGTGTGTGTTATTGATCACTTTGTTCCAGCAGGGGATGGTGGGACAAAACGAACACCTAAAAGTTATTTCTCGATCACCGTCGGAACGCCATATTGAATGAGTTTTCTTCAGTAATTCGATTGTCTCTCGGAAACGCATCACTTTTCTTTCGGTAGTTTCACGTTCCACGAACACAAAGTAGAATCTTGTACACTTTATAGTTCTTTACCCGGCTTCCTCTAGACGCTTCCTGGGTGTTTTGGTCATTCCTCTGCAATGTTATTGACTCCGGCGCTCCTTCACATTTCATTTCGCGTCGGAAACGGCCGCAATGCTCGTAAAAATCGATTCTTCAATAATAAATCTGTAGGGCAGTCCTTCGAGAATAACGGCGCAAATATCGGGATCGAGAAGTTTATAGTTTGATGATGACAAGTTGATTGATTAATTTAGGGTTGAGGCGCAAGCGTCACATCAATCTTGTTCACCGACTCAACAATCAAAAGAATTATGCAAACTTACCGTTTTTCAGCTTACAGTTGGAGACCAAGTCGTTCATCAGCTCCTTGTTTTTCTGCAAGCAAGAAATCGGCCACATTTAGCACATTGACTGGGTTTTCGGTGACATTTATTTGTCGTACGATCGCGGTAATAATGATCTGATAAGATAGAAATTATTCGACATTAGCTGGTCCAAAAATAAACTATTATCGCGAATGCAAATATTTTCACGTTTAAGCCTGGAGTGACGACGAAAAATTATTTTAAATGTTCGGAATGAGATTAAACTTTTAACGCAGTTATCCCGCCTGGGCCTTCCTTTAACCCGATTTACGCGATTAAGCAACTTCGCTATTAAAGTCTTCGTAAGCAGAATGACAAACTTTGGCTTATAGGGCTGCAAATATTCAAGTTAATTAATGAGTTAACCTCCAACAAAACTACGCGCAAACTCCCGAGGGAGGTTTTTTGGCGCTTTTCTGGAAAAACTGACATTAAGTTTATAAACTTGACTCAAATTTATTTAAGTAAAAATTAACTGTCTCTTAAATATGAGTTTCTAAATTTTGGTTCGACCTGACTGCCGTCTTTGCACATTTTTGCAGCAGAATTTCAATTTAGACTTCACAACGCAATGAAAAATTTAATAAAGTGAAATTATTGCGAGATTACAAATTTATACCAAATTATTTTCCTCATATAGCTGGTGGATTTGTGCGAGTCACGTGGAGGGAACGACGCATTAAAGCTAAGAATAAACAGTCTTTAAAGGGGCGTTAAACGAAAGTAATTCGTGTCCCTTGATACTTAAATCCGTGTATATAGTCCTAAAACGGATTATTTTGAGATTGCGTTTCCAGTAAAGTCTAAAACTCGAATAAACAGTGGGTGCCTACACACTTGTTAGCTGGATGTCAGACGGCGACGGCGTTGTGGTAATGTTTGTTCAGAAAAATGCAACTTTAAATTGGGTTTGTCGAAGACAGACTTGTGCATTGTGCAATTTTTCTTGGAGAAAATGTTCATCGAACGTGGTGAAACTAAAAACTCTCCAGAAGCTTTTCATTTAAAAGGAAATTTACTTGCATCAAATCTTGCTTTTTTTTAAAGATCTTTTTCATAAGTTTGCGTTACTCATATTTTGTCTGGAAGTAGATTTGGAGAAAACCTGAAATCTTAAACAAAGTGGCAATTTTCCTATCTGAAGTAAAAAGTCAAAATCTGCAAGCACTTTAAAGTCTTAAAACTTAAATTTTAGATTTTAAATTTTTTAGTATTCTCGATTTTTGATTTCAATTTTTCCTTTTTTATTTTACTATTTTTCGTTTTTTCAATTTTTCGATATGCAATATTTCGAATTTTCATGTTTGAGATTTTCAACTTTTGTATTTTTAACTCTAAGTTTTCAATTATTTAATTCTCGCTGTTTAATTTTTCCACAGTTCAATTTTTCGTTTAATCAGTTCTTCGATTTTTAAATTTTGTTTTTTTTTTTGCATTTCTTCAATTTTTAGATTTTGATTTTTCATTTGTTCAATTTTTCATTATTTCGATTTATCGATTTCACCTTTTCAATTTTTCAGTTATTCAATTTTCGATTTTTCAGTAGATATCTTGATTTTTAATTATTTGTTTCTTCAATTTTTCGAGTTTTCAGTTTAAAATTTTTGAATTTTTTCACTCTTGAATTTTTCAACTACGTATTCGTTTCTTCGGTTTTTCTTTCTTAAGTTTCCCGATTTGCAATGTCTAAAGTTTTTAAGTTAAGTTTAATTTCCAACTTTTGAAGTCTCGATTTTTAATTTTTTGATTCTTGTATTTTTCGTTTTTTCAGTTTCTCAATTTTTCAATTTTTTTAATTTTTCAATTTTTTCAATTTCTTTCTTCATATTTTGATAAAAAAAAATTCAATGTCCCAATTTTTCAGTTTTTCGATTTTACTATTTGGATATTTTGATTTTTCATTTTTCCATTTTTTTCAATCTTTTTGTTTCGATTTTTGAGTGTCTCGATATAAAATTGTTTTTTTGGTCGATCGATTTCAACCTTTCTTCAATTATCCGATTTTTCAATTTTTCGCGTTTTCAGTTAAAAATTTTTGAATTTTTTCTGATCCTAAATTTTTCGATCTTTTAGTGTTTTGATATTTCTTCCTATATATATCCTTCGTTTCTTCAGTTTTTTGGGTTTTCAGTTTGAAATTGTCTTGATTTTCGTTTGTCCAATTTTTCAATTTTTCAATTAGCATTTTTTTGGTTTCACTACATACTTACATTTTTTTTATTTTTTCCAATATTAATCTCTTGAATTTTTTAATTTTTCAGTTCGATTTTTAATTATTTGATTTTTCAGTTTTTTGTTTATTTTTTCGAGTTTTCAAGTTTAAAATTTTCAGTTTTCGAGTTTTTAACTTTTCAATTTTTCCATCTTACTGTATTTCGATTTTACAATTTTTCGATTTTTCAACATCCTGCTTTTTAGTTCTTAGTTTCTTCAATTTTTCGAGTTTTAAATTCTAAATTTTGAAATTTTTCATTTTTGAATTTTTCAACTATTCATTTTTTCGATTTTTCTTTCTTAAGTTTTCCGATTTGCAATGTTTAGTTTTTAAGTTAAGTTTCGAATTTTAATTTTTTGATTCTTGTATTTTTCAGTTTCTCAATTTTTCATTTTTTTTAATGTTTCAATTTTTTCAGTTTCTATATATTTTGATTTAAAAAAAATTTCAATGTCCCAATTTTTCAGTTTGTCAATTTCAAAATTACCAGAGATCGATTTCAACGTTTGAATTTTTCAATTTTTAGTTTTTTCAATTTTTCGATTTTACTATTTAGATATTTTGATTTTCAATTTTTTTCAATTTTCAATATTTCGATTTTTTCAACTTTCAATATTTCGATTTTTTTAAGTATTGAGTTTTTCAACTTTTTGACGTGCAATATTTCGAGATTTCAGTTTGAAATTTTCAACTTTGGAATTTTTAACTTTTTAATTTTTCAGTTATTTAATTTTTTGTCCATACGATTTTTTCCATATTATAATTTTTCCATTTCCGCATCTCTATTTTTAATTTTTCGATTTTTCAATGTTTTGTTTCATCAGGTACTCGACTTCTAATTTTGAATTTTTTAATAAATTTTTCCTTTTTAATTTAAAATTTTTGAATTTTTTCTATTACTAAATATTTCGATCTTGCAGTGTTTTAATGTTTTTGTTTTACTACATATTTTTCTGTTTTTTCAAATATCCATATTTTGAATTTTTCAATTTTTCAGTTTCTTGCTTTTAATTACAATTTGATTTTTAATTTTTCGTTTGTTTAATTTTTGGATATGCAATATTTAGAGTTTTCAATCTTAAATGTTAAAGTTTTCCCATTTGCAATAGTTAGAGTTTCTAAGTTAAGTTTAATTTTCAATTTTTGAAGTTTTCATTTTTGAATTTCTTTAATTTATTCAATTTTTCAATGTTTCGATTTTTCAATTTCTCAATCTAAAATTTTTCCGTCCATCGATTTCAATTTTTAAATTTTTGTTTTTTTCGGTAGATATCTTGATTTTTAATTTTTCGTTTCTTCAATTTTTCGAATTTATAATTTTTAATTTTCGACTTCTGAATTTCTCAATGATTCAAGTTTTCGCTTTTTATATTTTGTTTCTTCCATTTTTTAATTGGTAATTTTTTAATTTTACTATTTTTTGTGTTTTTAGTTTTTCCACTTTTTCAATTTTTCATTTCTTCAATTTTTTGAGTTTTCAGTTTTCAATTTTGAAATTTTTCATATGTGAATTTTTCAATTTTTCGGTTTTCGTTCTAATTTTCAATTTTTCGGTGTTTCAATTTTCGTACCTGGTTTTTAATTCTTCATTTCTTCAACTTTTCGAGTTTTCAACTTTAAATTTTTGAATTCTCGACTTTTGAATTGCGTTTCAATTTTTCGATTCGCAATTTTCAATGGTATTTTTCGTTTTTTCAGTGTTCCAATTTTTCATTTTCTCGATTTAAAATTTTCCATAGATCGATTCAACTTTTGAATTTTGAATTTTTCGTTTTTCCAATTTTTCAGATTTTCGGTTTTCGTTCTACTTTTCAATTTTTCGTTCATTTAATTTTAGTACCTTGTTTTTAATTTTTCGTTTCTTTCATTTTTCGAGTTTTTAAATTCGGAATTTTGGAATTCTTGACTTTTGAATTTTTTAACTATTATTTTTTCCAGATTTACAATTTTTTAATTTTTGTTCCATCTTTTTCGATTTTGAATTTCGTCGGTTTTTCGAGTTTTAAACTTAAAATTTTTGAATTTTCGACTTTTGAATTTCGTTTCAATTTTTCGATTCGCAATTTTAATGGTACTACATATTTTTTGTTTTTTCAATGTTCCAATTTTTCAGCTTCTCGATTTAAAATTTTCCATAAATCTGTTCAACTTTGGAATTTTTGAATTTTTCGTTTTTCCAATTTTTCCGATGTTCGGTTTTCGTTCTACTTTTCAATTTTTCGTTCCTTCTGTTTTAGTGCCTTGCTTTTAATTCTTCGTTTCTTCAATTTTTCAAGTTTTTAAATTTCGGAATTTTGAAATTCTTGACTTTTGAATTTTTCTCTTTTTATTCCATTTTTCGATTTTTAATTTCGTCAATTTTTCGAGTTTTAAACTTAAAATTTTTGAATGTTCGAATTTTGAATTTCGTTTCAGTTTTTCGATTCGCAATTTTCAATGGTACTATTTTTCGTTTTTTCAATGTTCCAATTTTTCAGTTTCCCGATTTACAATTTTCCATAGATCGATTCAACTTTTGAATTTTTGAATTTTTCGTTTTTCACTTTTTAGATTTTCGGTTTTTGTTCCACTTTTCAATTTTTAGTTCATTCAATTTTAGTACCTTGTTTTTAATTTTTCGTTTCTTTCATTTTTCGAGTTTTTAAATTCGGAATTTTGGAATTCTTGACTTTTGAATTTTTCAACTATTATTTTTTCCAGAATTACAATTTTTCAATTATTGTTCCATTTCCGATTTTTACTTTCTTCAATTTTTCAACTTAAAATTCTTGAATTCTCGACTTTTGAATTTCGTTTCAATTTTTCCATTCGCAATTTTCAATGGTACTATTTTTCGCTTTTTCAATGTTTCAATTTTTCAGTTTCCCGATTTAAAATTTTCCATAGATCGATTCAACTTTCGAATTTTTCAATTTTTGATTTTTTCAATTTTTAGGTTTTCGTTCCACTTTTCAATTTTTCGTTCATTCAATTTTAGTACCTTGTTTTTAATTTTTCGTTTCTTTCATTTTTCGAGTTTTTAAATTCGGAATTTTGGAATTCTTGACTTTTGAATTTTTCAACTATTATTTTTTCCAGAATTACAATTTTTCAATTATTGTTCCATTTCCGATTTTTACTTTCTTCAATTTTTCAACTTAAAATTCTTGAATTCTCGACTTTTGAATTTCGTTTCAATTTTTCCATTCGCAATTTTCAATGGTACTATTTTTTTCGCTTTTTCAATGTTTCAATTTTTCAGTTTCCCGATTTAAAATTTTCCATAGATCGATTCAACTTTCGAATTTTTCAATTTTTGATTTTTTCAATTTTTAGGTTTTCGTTCCACTTTTCAATTTTTCGTTCATTTAATTTTAGTACCTTGTTTTTAATTTTTCGTTTCTTTCATTTTTCCAGTTTTTAAATTCGGAATTTTGGAATTCTTGACTTTTGAATTTTTCAACTATTATTTTTTCCAGATTTACAATTTTTCAATTATTGTTCCATTTTCCGATTTTTACGTTTCTTCAATTTCTCAAGTTTTTAAATTCGGAATTTTGGAATTCTTGACTTTTGAATTTTTCAACTATTATTTTTTTCAGATTTACAATTTTTCAATTTTTGTTCCATTTTTCGATTTTCAATTTCTTGAATTTTTCGAGTTTACAACTTAAAATTTTTGAATTTTCGACTGGTGAATTTTGTAGAAATTTGAGAATTTCTAATTTGGAATTTAAAATTCTGGACTGAAAAGAAAGATCTGGGAAATTCGGGAATTGGTAACTAAGAACCTTAATTCGGAGAACTTGAATTTGAAAATTAATAACTACTATTTGTAATTCAACAATTGAAATTGAGAAAGAATAACTGGAAATTTCGAAATTTGGAAATTTGCAAACTGAGCATTGAAAATTTGATGTTTAGAACCTGATAATTTATTACTGAGAGCTTTTGAGAATTAGGAATTGAAAATTGGAAAGTAGGTATGTACTAGAAATTACGTACTGTAAAGTTGAGAATTTAGGAATTCGAAATTAAGGATTTATAATTCTTGTATTCGGAAAATGCGAATTTCGAAACTGGGAATTTTAAACAGAATTTTGGAATTTCAAATACGAACTTGAAAATCTCGGATTAACAAGTTCGGAATTTGAAAGTGAAACCAGAATTTAAAATAAAAGAAAATTCGGGAAATTGGGAACTGAAAATTAGGAATTTAGGAACGCAAGTACTAGAAATTGAGCACCGCAAGCTGCAAATTCAGGAATTCGAAAATAAGGATTTAAAAATTTTGCATTTAGAAAGTGAAAACTTCGAAATTAGGAATTTGGGAAGCGAGTAGTGAGATTTAAAAATTCAGGAATTAGGAATATTAAAGAGAATCTGCGAATTACAAATACGAAGATTTTTATTCTTCAGAAATTTGAAATAGTAGTATTAAAAAAATAAAAAAAATATTTAGGGTTTGGAATAATCAAAAATTCGATCCTGCAATTCGAGAATTCCGGATTGATAACTTCGGAATTTGAAAATGAAGCCGGAATTTAAAATACGAAAAGTGCAAACTGAGAACCCACACTGGGAGAGGGATATTTGAAAATTAGGGACTAAGAATTTGGGAATTAAAAATTGGAAATGTGGAAATTTTGGCATTAGGGATTTGTATTTAGGATTTGGAAATTGAGATTCCAGAAGTCGAAAACTAGAAATTAATCATTCAGAACTAGAATATCTGGACTACGAAAACGAGAATGGGAACTTAAAAAAATCATAACTTATGACTATGATTTACGAGTTGAGAATTTGAGAATTTCTAATTTCAATAATTTGGAACTTAAAAATTCTGGAACCGAAAAACGAGATTTGTGAAATTCTTGAATTCGTAACCGAAAACTTGTTCTGGGTAAACTCTAAATTAGAAATTACAAATTCCTAATCGTAATTCAATAAATAAAATTTGAAAACTGATAATTAAGTTTTGTAAATTTCGACATTTGCACACAGAAATGAAAATTTAGCACTTAGAACCTAATAATTTGTAACTGAGAAAGGGAGTTTCGGGAATTGGGAACTGAAAATAAGGAATTTAGGAACGCAAATACTCGAAATTGAGCAGCGGAAGCTGCAAATTCAGGAATTTGAAATTAAGGTTTTAAAAAGTTTGCATTTAGAAAGTGAAAACTTAGAAACTGGGAATTTTTTCGTTTTGCAAGTTTTCGATTTTCAGGGTCTCGAGTTTCATTTTTCGATTTCCCAACTTTACAATTTTTCAATTTCGTATCATACTAAGGAAATGAGTGAACAGAGCTCGTTACATTTGTCGTAAAACTAATTTAGTCAGCGTCTGAAGAAAGTCTGAACGTCGGAGATAAAACCAGCAGTAAATAATGAGAAAGTAAGAAGTGATTAATCTCGAAAGATTTATGTTCACGGGAAGATTATTCTTTTTGAATTTATAAAAACATCCATAAAACTAAAGCTCTCAATAAAAACGCGGAAATAGAATTTATATATAAATTTTTTGACAAAGATAGAGGCAACTGTGTTATCATTAACACTTTATCAGTACAAACAAGAACGTGCCTAAAACTTTATTGTTTTTTTTTGACACAAAAACCCCTTTTATGTGGCGTACACATCCATTTTCACTAACTCTTCTTTGTTTCATTCCCAGCAACCCACCGTGTAATTTTCTGGTCAAGTTCACCCAGACCCATTTATTACAAAAAACACATTCCCTCCACCTCGCACTGTCAACGTCAGCAACAAATTACTTTTAATCTCTCACGCCTGAATATTTCATGAGAAAATTATTAATGACGCCACAGGTACTCATCAAATGTGGAGCAATATTTTCCAAAAACTAGACAACTGCGATAATTGAGACCGACCCAAATGGGCAATTTGACACCAATTTGACCCTCTTTCCCGGCAATGCGAACTTTCCCAGCAGCTATTTACCCTCGAATCGCCCCAACACTTTTTCATTCGCTTGAAAAAGAAAAACTCGTTATGACGCTAACTACTCAAAGCTCGCAATTGTGAAAATAAACGAAGAGAAAATAAATATTCCACCCCTCGGACCAAATTACACCCCACAACTGACTTCTTACCTCCCATATAAGTTTGAAATCGTGCTGTTCGACCCGCAACAATTCGCACGTTGTTTGCGTAACGACGGTCGTATCCCTTGGCAGATCCTGAAGGATTGATTCGCCGAAAGTTGCTCCAACCCCCAGCGTACACAACGTCACAGGTATCTGTAACAAGCAAACATGAAACTTTTTCAAACACGAAACAAATGCGAGTATTAATCATGGTGAGGGGGAAAGTGACACTAAGCTGCTTATCTGCTGCGACATATTGGTTACAGAGTTTTGCTTGTTGCGGCTTTTAATCGGATATAACGGGGTCTTTGACGATTATCTCAGGGCGAAAATGGGACGATAGTGTTTATTGGTAGTGTCGGGGTTGTTTTTAAGCAGATGCGGAAACTCCCATCGACGCGTTAATTAAATCGATTTATTTTAGTATTTGTTTGAGCGCGATGAAAATTGGGGAAAATTAGATTTCGCAATCTATGGAGGGAAATCGGGGCGTAATTGACTTTGAAGATGTTTAATCGTTGAAGGTGTGTTTGTTATTACGTTGACTTTTAAGGGGTGAACGGTCGGAAGGAGAGGGTTTTTTCAAGCAAATTCGAAATTGGGACGAAATTGAATTATCAAATTAAGCTAAATTAAATTAAAATTGACGTCAACGCGAATTTGTGCGCCTACGCTAAAACAAAATCCCCACGCACCTGGAACGATTTTTTTTGGTTCTTCAGTTTTCGATTTGGAATTTTTAGAGTTTTTAAACCTAAATTTTTCAGTTTTTCAGTGTTTGAATTTTTCAATTTTTAGATTTTCCAATGTTCCGATTTGATATTTTTGGTTTTTCAATCTCAATTTCTTCAATTTTTCGTTTCTTCAATTTTTTTAATTTTTTTTGTTTCTTCGGTTAAGGGTTTTTTATTTTTCGAGTTTTTCAGTTTAAATTTTTGAGTTTTTCGATTTTCAAACTTTTGAATTTTTCAATTTTGATGAGAGTTTGCAATTTTTCGATTTGAGTTTCCCGGGTTTTCAATCTGTACTTTTTCAGTTTTTCTATTTGCAATTCTTCGTTTTGGTTTTTTATTTTCTTTTTTTTTTTAATTAATCAATTTTTCAATGTTTGGATTTTTGTTTTTTAAATTTTAATTTTGTCAGTTTTTGGTTCTTCGGCGTTTCGATTTGTGATTTTTTCGTTTCTTTAATTTCTAGATTTTGCAATTTTTCGATTCTTTAATTTTTCATTTCTTCAAATTTTCAATTTACAATTTTTCGTTTAGGTTTCTATTTTTTTATTTTTACAATTTTTAGAATGTTCCGATTATATATTTTTTGTTTTCCTATCTAAAATTTCTTCAATTTTTCGTTTCTTTAATTTCTCGATTTGCAAATTTTCAATTTTTTATTTCTTTAGTTTTTCGAATTTCCAACTTTTGAATTTTTCAATTTTGAGATTTTGCAATTTTTCAATTTGAGTTTTTCGAGTTTTCAATTTGTAATTTTTCAATTTTTCGATGTGCAATTTTTCGTTTCGGTTTTTTATTTTCTTTATTTTGACAATTTTTCGATTTTTCAATGTTCCAATTTGATATTTTTTGTTTTTCAATCTCAATTTCTTCAATTTTCCGATTTTTCAATTTTTTTTGTTTCTTCGTTTTCGATTTGGAATTTTTCGAGTTTTTAAGTTTAAATTTTCGAGTTTTTCGATTTTCCAACTTTTGAATTTTTCAATTTAGAGATTTTGCAATTTTTGGTTTCACTTTTGTATTTAATTTTTTTTTAATTAATCAATTTTTCAATGTTTAGATGATTTTTTTTTTAATTTTAACTTTTTCAGTTTTTGGTTTCTTCGGTTTTTCGATTTGCGCTTTTTTATTTCTTCACTTTCTAGATTTTGCAATTTTTCGATTCTTTAATTTTTCATTTCTTCAAATTTTCATTTTGCAATATTTCGTTTAGGTTTTTTATTTTTTAATTTTCCAATGTTTAGATTTTTCATTGTTCTGATTTTATATTTTTTGTTTTTCTATCTCAATTTCTTCAATTTTTCAATTTTTTTTGTTTCTTCAGTTTTCGGTTTGGAATTTTTAGAGTTTTTAAGTTTAAATTTTTGAGTTTTTCGATTTTCCAAATTTTGAGTTTTTAAATTTAAAAATTTGGAATTTTTCGAGTTTGAATTTCTCGAGTTTATTTTTCGTTTAGATTTCTTATTTTCTTTATTTTTACAATTTTTCAATTTTTTAATGTTCCGATTTTATATTTTTTGTTTATTTCTATCTCAATTCCTTCAATTTTTCGATTTGGAATTTTTCGAATTTTTAAGTTTAGATTTTTCAGTTTTATGGGTTTCTAACTTTTCAACTTTTGAATTTTGAAATTTTTCAATTTTTCGATTTAAGTTTCTCGAGTTTTCAATTTGTAATTTTTAAATTTTAGATTTGAAATTTTTCGTTTCGACTTATTTTCTTTTTTCCAATGAATCAATTTTTCAATGTTTAGGTGTTTTATTTTTTAATTTTAATTTTTTCAGTTTTTGGTTTCGTCGGTTTTTCGCTTTGCGTTTTTTTTTCATAGATTTTAGAATTTTTTATTTCTTCAAATTTTCGATTTGCAATTTTTCGTTTAGGTTTTTTATTTTCTATGTTTTCACAATTTTTCGATTTTTCAATGTTCCGATTTTATATTTTTTGTTTTTCTATCTCAATTGCTTCATTTTTTGTTATTTCAATTATTCGATTAGCAATTTTCAATTTTTCAATTTTTTATTTTGTGTTTTCAGTTTTTCGATTTGGATTTTTCGAGCCTTCAAGTTTAAATTTTCAGTTTTTCGATTTTTCGACTTTTGAATTTCTCAATTTTGAGACTTAGCAATTTTTCGATTTGAGTTCTCCAGTTTTCAGTTTGTGATTTTTCAATTTTTTGATTCTTTAATTTTTCATTTCTTCTGAATTTTCTTAACTTTTACAAGTTTTCGATTTTTCAATGTTCCGATTTTATTTTTTTGTTTTTCTTTCTCAATTTCTTCAATTTTTCGATTTGCAATGTTTCAATTTTTTTATTATTTTTTTTTGTTTCATCAGTTTTCGATTTGGAATTTTTCGAGTTTTTAAGTTTAAATTTTTCAGTTTTTCGATTTTTCAACTTTTGAATTCTTAAATTTTGATATTTTGCAATTTTTAAATTTGAGTTTCTCGAGTTTTCAGTTTATAATTTTTCAATTTTTTTGCAATTGTTCGTTTCAGTTTTTCATTTTCTTTTTTTTTGAATTAATAAATTTTTCAATGTTTCGATTTTTTTGTTTCTTCGATTTCTAGATTTTGCAATTTTTCAATTCTTTAATTTTTCATTTTTTCAAATTTTCAATTTGAAATTTTTCGGTTCGGATTTTTATATTCTTTATTTTTTCAATTTTTGAGTGTTCTAATTTTGTAATTTTTCCTTTTTTCAGTTTTAGATTTTTCAGTTTTTCGATTTTCAATTTTTCGTTTCTTCAATTTTTGATTTGCAATTTTCCTAGTTTTCATTTTAAATATGTAATAATAATTAAAATTTTTAAATTTTTCCATTTTTAAATTATTGGATTTTTCAATTTTTCGAACTTTCAGTTTTACAGTTTTTCGATTCCATCATTTTTCGATTTTACAATATTTGGGTTTTTTCTTCGATTCGATTCGTTTTTTCTGCTTTCGAATTTTTCCATTTATTAATTTTTTACCATTTTTTTAAGTTTCTCGATTTTTAGTTTCTCATTGTTTCAATTTTTTATTTCTTCAGTTTTCCCAGTTTTCAATTAAAATTTTTTAATTTCCGACTTTTTAATTTTTTCAGTTATTCAAATTTTGGATTTTTCAGTATTTTATTTTAATTCTTCGTTTCTCCAATTTTTTGAGTTTTTAAATTTTCGAATTTTGGAATTCTTGACTTTCGAATTTTTTCAATTGTACACTTTTTGTTCTATTTTTTGATTTTTCGTTCCTCAATTTTTCGAGTTTTCAATTTAAAATTTTTAAAAGTACTATTTTTCGTTCTTTCAATTTTTCAATTATGTATTTAATTTTTTTACTATTTTTCTTTTTGAAGTTTTCGATTTTTCACTTTTTCGATTTGTCAACTTTTCGAATGGAAAATTGCAAAATTGTAAAATAAAAAAATAAAAATGAAAAAACCAAAATGTATAAAATGAAAAGTTTAAAAATTCTAAAAATTGGAAACAAGAACTGGAAAAATTAAAGAAACGAAAAATTAAAAACTCGAAGGAAAAATGAAAAAGAAAATTGAGAAAGTTAAAAATTGAAAAAGTGGAAAATCGAAAAAACGAAAAATGTTTCGTAAAATCGAAATTTTGAAAATTAAAGAAATCTGAAAATGAAAAATAAAAATGAAGAATTTGAAACTTGGGGACACGAAAAAATGGAAAAACGAAAAATTAAAAATCGTGATATCCAAAATTGTTAAAACGACGAAGAGGAAAAACGAAAAATTGTAATATCAAAAAATTCGTCCACATCAAATAAATAATTTTCGAAAACTTATAAGCTTTGATCTTGAAAATTTTATTTTTTTATGAAAACCCTTATGACTCAAAATAAAGATATGTACGTATATAAATATAAAAAAACGAACCGTAAATTTGTTTCAAGTGATTTTTTCCAGTATAACATTTTGAGATGACGTCATCAATTTTTTGCAGTTTCAAAGTTAAATTACAAAATGTTAATATACATACAAAATTTGATAACAATTGGTCCAGTGGTTTCGGAGATTACGCGTCTAATAAAAATCAACACACGACAGACAGACAGAGGTCATAAAACGTCGCGAAAACATGAAAGTGGAAAGTCGCCTGATGGATTCGAGCTTGTTCTCAGGAACTAAAAAGAATCACACGACCGTAAAATCGTGGCAATTTTCGTCCATTTCGTCCCAGCTTCTGGTTATTACCACGTCCGACCCGTGAGAAAACGTTTCTATCAAACCTCTAATTCAACAAAGACGGCTTTCTCCAGAGACTTCGAATATTTACCGCCGAAATCACAAAGCGAACTCCACAACTTCACTAAAAACTCCAATTCAAACACCCGCCGAACTTTCTTCAATTACAATAGGCTTAGTCGAAATAATAAGCCAAATCTGCATGCTAACGCTCCATGTTTATGAATCCGAGTCGT